GGGGGGGAAGGGAGGGAGAGAGAGAGAGGGAGAGAGAGAAGGCGAAGGTGAGACAAGTGATAACACACTGCTTCTAACTATTTTTTCAGGTTGAATGTATTTTCTGATTTTTAAAACATTCATGAAGGGATTCTGGAAAATATGTGCATGTTTAATGTCCAGTATATTAACCTAATTTGCATAAATTAGAGTCGATATCCTGACACATTTAATACGTGACCAAATGTTTTATTAATTTAACCCTATTTTTCCGTGGTTCACATGATGATCCGCGTTACTGAAACCCCAGTAAATATTGTTGCTATTATTCTCCTTCTCTGTGCTGCGTCTCGTCATGGCGAAGCTGGCAATGGCTCTCCTTAATTTCCTATACTTTATAGCTTTTCTCTATGTCTGCTTTTTTCAGCCCTCTCACTCCTTGATTTTTTATCCATTCATACGAGTGGATTAGAAATGTTACTCACTGTTTCTCTTTGTTCTTCTTGCCTTCAATATGAACTGTGAATGTCAACATTTCCAGGTCTTTGTTTCTTATTATGTGTACTACAAATGTCAATTGTCTCTTTCTGGTTCTTAGATTAAGTATCGTTTCCGTTTAATTTTCGTTAAAACTTTCTCGTTGCTCGCATGTTCTCAACATCCTTCTGCAGAAGCAAAATTTCTTTGCGCTATGATTATTCTTCATTTGTGAGAAAATCATTCAGCTTTCACTGGCATGTAGGCCGATTGACATTTCATAATAGATGAGCAGTCTAACCTTTTTACCTAAGTGATATTTCCGAATTCTTAATACATTTTTTTTAGGTTTTGGAAGACGATTCCAATGCCCCTAAAGTATTTCGGCATCGCATCTTCCGTCGTCCGTTAAAAATTCCCAGTATAGAGTGCGCTCTTCATACATTATTGTCGCTTTTGACTGTTTGGCTAATTGCATCAAGTGAGTATAATTTCCATGGAGAGACCTCTGACAAGGAACAACATTCTTCGGAAGGGTAAGTCTCACAGTTTGTTTTATTGCTCGTCTCGTTGAAAAAGGATACAGGCGTGTCCGAAAATTCCGAATTAAAAATTTTTCTCTTCGTACTTCTATCAAAGAACAACAACATTCTTCGAAAGGGTACGTCTCACCAAATTTTTTATTGCTCGTCTCATTGACTAGGATAGAGGCGTATCCGAAAATTCAGAATAAAAAACCATCTCTCTGTCTGTCTGTCTGTCTGTCTGTCTGTCTCTCTCTCTGTCTGTCTGTCTGTCTGTCTCTCCCTCTCTCTCTCTCTCTCTCTATATATATATATATATATATATATATATATATATATATATTTGGTTGGATAGATATGAGTTGGGTTTCACGCTTTAGCGATCGTCGTTTGTCTGACGATCGCTAAAGCGTGAAACTCAGGATCACAAACTCACATCTATAAGAGGACATCGAAAATATATGTGTATTGTATCCGAAATGCTATAGCATTTCGGATACAATACACATATATTTTTCGATGTCCTTATTACTAAGAGAAAAAAAAAGAACAACATCTATTATATACCTGAAGATGTCTGTAGGAACAGACGAAAGCTTGTAGTAAAATAACAACTAATACGGCAGAAATTTATATAAACAAGGATCAATTCATTCATAACGGATCTGGAGGTTTTGTGTACTATTTGAATTGTTTGCGAGATGGATGTCTCGCCATTTAAATCATTAACCTTTGCATTAGTTTTGTGTGAATAATTCATGTATATATATATATATATATGCATACATACATACATATATATATATATATATATATATATATATATATATATATAGAGAGAGAGAGAGAGAGAGAGAGGTATGTATATGTACGTATGTGTCTATGTGTGTGTGTGTATGCACTGATATAGGGAAGTATGTGTATGTACGTATGTGTGTATGGGTGTGTGTATGTACTGCTTCCTTGTAATGGGACGATATGTGCGTGTGTTTGTGTATGTGTATGGGTGTACAGATGTGACACTGAATCCTCGTAGTGAGACAGTGTGTACTTAAGGAGATGGGATATACACATATATACACGCATGCTGACAAAAGCATACGAAAATGGAAATAGATCTAAGAACACACAGGGATCATTAAAAGATAAGCATGCCGATAACTACTTCATCATTTCTCGAACTAATCTTAATTGATTTATAACCCTTCACGCAGAACTTTTCACTGTCAGTTCAAGAAAGACGTTTGGATCACTAATACAAAAAAAAAGAATGTCTCATATCGAGAATATTTAACATCGAAAAACATAAAGAAAACAAATGAATTATTTTTAATAATATGTGGAAATCTCCACCCTTTGTCTGATGACGGTCGCAAGACCGGAAAAACGTGCAGCAAAATTATGGAAAATAAGGCATAATATTTTTTTTTAAATCCACATTACAACCAAAAACTTTTGCGGCTTCTCTCTAATATACACACTTTTCTCTCATTGGAACTACTATAACCTCTTCCTTATATATATATATATATATATATATATATATATATATATATATGAAGATATTTTTAGGTACAAAATTTAATGATCGAAATAAAAAGTATAAAATTTAATATTACAAGACATATTAAACAAAAAAAAAAAAAATAAAAAAAAACAACAATGGGGGAAGTAAATTGGTTTTGCTCCTGCTCTTCAGGCTTCAACGGAGATTCAAAATTAACAGAGAAAATGTACAATAAAGGAATTGGGAAAAAAATAAAATAAAAATAATATATATATATATATATATATATATATATATATATATATATATATATCTTCTTTTTTAGTATTTATTATAGTGAATGATGAGTTGAGAATTGCATTAATAAAATTCATAACGTTGTAGACAAATTGTTTTTCACCCTACGATGCCTTTCCCAGACAAGCTTGTCGCTATTCTATCGTTATGAGGATGCCAAATGACCAGAAATTCCTACAGAACATAGCTTTACATTTAGACCATCATGTCACGATCACAAGGGAGAATCATCCTCAGGTTTGTCGGATTGAATTGATGACAGGTCCTATTTGCAACAAAGTTACACACCACTTTAAAAAAAAACATCTGAAATATAATTTGTACTCAATAACAGACAATATTAAGAACCAAAGACAAAAAGATTTCATAATACAACACACGCCATTTAAATCAAAATGTCCATCATTGAGAAATTAACATTACCATGTAAAATAATTGACCAATCGCAAAATTAAACTGACCTGAGTATGATGATAAACAACATCCGCGTCCTGGGTAAGACGATAAACTCTGTCCAACCGCAAGGCCTCTGATCAGGAGGTTTTCAAGGGCGTGAAACCACCTCTTAATTGCTGATGTTCCCAGGTTCACCCCGACCCGGGATGGTAGCACCTGTTATGGTCCCAGCTATGGGCAAATAGTTAACACCGAAACTTGTGTCAAAACACTATGAAAGTGTAAAAATAGGCTTTAATACCAGAAATACTTTGTATAATATTATTACCAGCAATAAATGTTTGAAGAAAAATTTGTACCAGCAAAACATTATTACCAGCAACGTATTTTTGAAAAAAAAATATTACCAGCAATAAATTTTAAAATAAATTTTTACCAGAAATTCTTTTTTGAAAAAAAATATTACCACCTATATATTTAAAAAAAATACCAGCAATAAAAATCTTATCGGCATTAAATAGCCCATTGAGGTTGACATGCTGTAAAACACAAACAAAAATAAAAAAATAAAAATTAAAACAATATTTTTCTCGAGTCTAATTTCGCGAAAAATTTCTTATAAAATGACAAAAATTTCGATTTTCAGAAGAAGGGAGAGTACTGTCTCCAAGCCGTTCAAACACAAGAAAAAGAAGTCGCTATATAAATTTTTACTAGAAATAACTGTCGGCTACATTAACTGGATCATCTTCAACAGCAACAACTCTGACTGTCAGTGAATTTTCGTTGACGATTAAAGTCTTTTCTCACCCTCAGATTTTTATTGTGAACTTCTAAACCATTTCCCTGTCCCAGATATTTCTCTGCGCCAACTAATCAAAGACTTTAAATCACTTAAAGATTATTTTGAATTCTTTTTGACTCTTTGTATTCAGGCACATATTTTTATAAATACAAATAATTTAGTTAACATGTATACACATATTTTTTTTTATTATTCTGTGGAATTCGCGCGTTTAACACTTTGAACCCTGCGTTTCTGAACAATTTTACCTCTTCCGTATGAGCTCCTGAGTCAAATTTCGCAAATAATTGGTATGTAATGTTACACGGGAGGTATAAAAAAAATATTGGTATTGGTGTTGGTATAACGTTCGATGACATCACAATATTACGGCTATTCTGATTGGCTCTTCAAAATAAGACAACCAATATCAAAACACGACGCAAGTGTTTACCCACCGTTCAACCGGTGGCTGTGCATTAAGTCATTATTCTCTACTACTGTTCAACCGGTGGCTGGACATTACGTCATTTTTCTCTACCAACGGTAAAACTGGTCATGGCTCAAATAAATAAAAATAAAAAATAAAAACTCTAGACAACAGAATTTCCTACAATTTATTAAAAATAGAAGACATTCTGAGACTAAAAGAATCCCAGATGTACGCAATTTGGTAAACTCGTGTATGGATAAATTTTCATTTACCTTATTGTCAAATATCTTTACCCGGTTTAATCGACGATACTAGATCTCGCTGAAATGCATTTATGAATTGTATATATGAATGCCATTCGTCTGTTTTATTTGGAGAGCTGTTTTCGCTTATATATTTTATTTTGTTTTAGTATTTTCATTTTGTTTTGCCACTTTCCCTCGTTTTATTCACTTTCACTCTTCCATCAACTCTGTCGAATAAGTTATCCTCAATGGGGAGCCATCTGTCACCGCTGGGGCCGCCCGCTCAGGAATGTGTCTTGAAATGACGTATAGGTTCCAGCAAGTATATGTAATGAAAGAAGACAGTTACCTCGATGCGATGACCCTCTCTTTCGTTCTGATTATCTGCCTCTCCCTCTTTTTCACTCTTCCTGCCTATGTGACTCTATCTACATCTCTCTCTCTCTCTTTCTCTCTATCAGATTATCTACCTCTTCCCAACATCATGTCGTCTTTTCTACTTATCATTTATCGAATAAACTCTCATTATGTCAACTTCCCCTCTCTCATTTCACTTGAATTCACTCACTTTCATCCTCTCATCTTATTTACCTCTCTCTTTCATTATATCTGCCTATCGCCCTCATTTCTATCTGCTCATCTTATTCTCTCTGATTATATAGTCCCTCTCTCATTATGTCTGAATCTCTCTCTCTCGTTCTTTGTTTAAATGCCTCTCACTCTGGATACATTTACTTCTCTCTCTCTCTCTCTCTCTCTCTCTCTCTCTCTCATTGTATATCTGCCTCTCTGTCGATCTATATATTTATTTCTCTCTCTCTCTCTCTCTTTCTTATTCTATCTCTGATTATCTTCCTCTCTGCTTTGATCTATCTACTTATCATCTTCTGTCTGCCTCTCATTATCTTTGAATATCTGCATCTCTCTCTCTCTCTCTCTCTCTCACATACAAACTCAGTCTGTTTACTTATCTTCCTCTCTTTCTCTCTCTTATTCTGTAAGTTTATCTGACTCCATGTCTGTCTCGATCTATATATTCTGCCTCTCTCTCCGCTTCTTTTGGTCTATCTACTTGTATTTTGTCTCTATTATTCTGTCACATTATCTGCTTTTCTCCCCACCTCTCTCTTTCTCTCTCTAATAATATTACTCTTCCTCTTTCTCATTACCTCTGATAATCTGAATTTCTCTCTCGCGAGCTTCCTCTCTCACTTTCATTTTCTCAGTATATCCGCCCTCTGTCTCTCACAATCTATATAGTTATCTTCACCTCTCTCTCTCTCTCTCTTTCTCTCTCTCTCGTTGTCTTTGATTATCTGACTCTTTATCGATCGCTGTTTTTTTTCTTCTTCTCTCTCTCTCTCATTATTATTGTATTTAGGTCTGTCTTTTCTATCACTGTATCCCTGTATCCATTGATATCCAATGTAGGCGTACAGTAAATTAAAACTTTATTTATATGTCTAACTTGTGACATTCAAGAATGTAGAACACATGACAGTAAATCAAAATTTGAATCAATTTGTTAGCAATAAATTTTAAGCCGAAATATTTATCAATGTTTCCTCGACAATAAAATTATTCCAAGGTGTTAAATATCTTCTAGTTTCTAGGTGTTTAAATATTTGAAATTATTTCCTGTTATTGATTGTACGTAGGTAAAATCAACGCTGCCTCATAAAAATGCAATATACGCATTTGTTAGTCTTGTGCAATAAATAAAATCATACAGCACACTAAAAAATATCTAAACATAAATTAAAAGAATTAGAGCGTAGCATAATTTATTTCTTTAAACTCCAAAGAAGAATCTGCAATGTTATTATTCCTGACATGGCATCTCGGCTTCAGTCACTTTCCCACCGCCGTAACGTAGCTTTGCTGTATTTTTTCTTCTTTTTTTTCTATAAATACTTTCAAGGTAATTGTTCTGATGAACTTTACTCTATGACACCTAAGCGTTATGGATATAAACGCAGTACTAGATTGACAACAGGGTGTCATCAATTTATAATCGATTTGACGAGATGTAAGCGCAGTTCTATGCTAGCAGTTTCTACTATCGTACTTATCGCTTGTAAAACTCTCTTCCGGCTTCTTGCTTCCCCGTCAACTTTTATGTTAAAAATTTAAATGCAATGTCAATAGTTTTCTTCTGTTTTCTAAATTCTTGTTCTTTTATAGTCTTCTCTCTTTAGTAGTTTTAATCACATTCCCTTGCGTCCGAGTGGCTTTATTGCCTTGCTTGGGGTAAAATGTTAAAAAACGATAAGACGAAAACTATTTCAGTGTATTTGAATTTGTTAAACTGAAAATACATTTTTAATATTAAATTTATGTAAGAACCTCAGTTATACCATTAATTTTTAGATAGCTTATGCAAGAAACAATGTAGCTTTTAAGAATAATAAGAAACATCAAGAAATTACTGCTAACAATCATAAAGAGTCAGTGGAAATTTTTGGATGAATAATGAAGAAAGAACGTCTGGAGAATTTACCATTACAAATGGCATAATCAAAAGGTTCAGAGAAAAGTAGTTGATATTTGTGCAAAGTATATTTTAATATTAAAATGAGAATACGTTTTTAATATTAAATTGACACTACATTTTTAATATTAAATTGACAATACATTTTTAGTATTAAATTGACAATATATTTTTAATATTAAACTGACAATACATTTTTATATTAAACTGACAATAAATTTTTGATATTAAATTGACAATATATTTAATATTAAATTGACAATACATTTTGATATTAAATTGACAAAATATTTTTAATATTCAATTGGCAATATATTTTAAAATTAAATTGCCAATATATTTTTAATATTAAATTAGCAATACATGTTAATATTAAATTGACAATATATTTTTAATCTTAAATTGGCAATAAATTTTAATATTAAATTGACAATATATTTTTAATATTAAATTGACAATACATTTTTAGTATTACGATTGTAATTCGATTTTCAAGGTAAAACCATTTGTTTGTTTTTTTTTTTTTCTTATTTCCATTTATTAAAAGAAAATCATAAATGGTACCGAGAACAGTATATAAGAAGGAATTGAGACCAAAATCACATATTTATAATATTTTAAATGGGTTGTTAGAAAACCTGTGGGATTGTCTGCTAATGCATTTCATTTGAGGCTGATATATATTCAGAACTATCTATATAAGGACGAGATATAAACATTTTCACTTGTGTGTTTGACTCTCTAACCCATACGCTGAGTTTAGCTCTATGATGTTGTTGTGTCTTCCTGCTGACTACGTAATTTCAAACCAACCACGTGTCGCATTCACCCCTTTGATACTATCGCTGCTCCAATAAGTATTTTCTTTATTTTTTATTTCTTAGCTATTTGTCTACACGTAAATTATCTCTTTCTTTTCTTTTCTGAGCTATATTCTACATTAGGTAAACTATATGTATAAAATCCTATACGTGTTGACTTCGCTTCTTTTGAATAATCGGAAAGCAATGCCCGTCGCAGGATTTCGCTTCAACCAGGAAGTGGAAAATGATATTAGTTCGAGTCCCAGGCTGCCATCCCCAAGCAATACATCTTTCTCTCGAGGCAGTTGTGGTCATTACCCGGTGTCTAGGGCATCACCAAAAACAGAAATGCGATTTGTCAATGATATTGCAGAAAAAATTTAAAACTTCGAACTTGTGTTACATTCTGTTGCGACGTGAGCGCACGGATAAATGCCTATATTGAAAGTTTTCAAACTCTCCGCCCAATAGAGGGACTCATTACTAACAAAGCGGCAACAGTTGCTAGGTCTGCTGCTTGGAAATATGATTCATGTGAGGCATTTTTTTCTCTCTCCAAAATGTATCTTACGCATTTTTAAATCTGATATGGGTCCGTTTATTGAATATTTCTGTTGGATCGGTCCTGGTTTTTTTTTCTGCTGTGTATTTCGAGGTTATTGATAATATCCAAACAAGTATCGGCAATGTTATCGGTCCTAATATGGCATCTCGGCTTCAGTCACTTTTTCTCCGCCGTGACGTAGTTTTCCGTTGCCTTTTATATTAATACTTTTATGCTAATTGTTCTGATGCGCTTTCCTCTTTGATAGCTCGATTTAACGAATCAGAACGTAGAACTAGATTGGCAGTAAGGTCTCACCATTTTACAGCTGAAAGGGATAGATAAAACTGCAAGTTCTATACTAACAGTTTCTGCTATCACACTTACGGTCTTTTGATTATCAGTCAAGCGTTATTTTCAATAATTTAAAGGCAATGCCAATTAATCGTTATCTATTGTCTTCTTAATTTCTTTCCTTTTATTTTTCTGTCTGCTTAATAATGTTTAACCCTTTCTCATATTCACTCAGTAATCCCTTGAGTCTAATTGGCTTTATTGCCTTGACCTCGGTGAAATAGATTTTTTTAATTACAAAGGAGTATTAAGAGGCGACAGAGGGCGTGACTCCTGTAAGATTATGTGTTGAGTTCTATAAGTTATAATGTTGATGGTTCATGATATCGAAATGCAATACAATGGTTGGGGTAAATTCTCATCCTGGTCACTGTTAATAACTTTCACCTTTGCTGCACGTATGACTGAAATGAAGGAGATGCTGAACAAGCGACAAATATCTAACGTTTCTTTGAGACAGTGACCATTGAGCCGGAGATAAACAATCGGGTTTTCACAAACAATTAAGAGCTTAATTACCTGCAACTCAATGTCAAACTGACATAAACTCTGTAAATATTTGTTTTGTGCACGTGATAGACATGTTTAACAAGTTAGTCACATTCGATTATTACAACTGCAGGGATGTTGTTAAAAGTATGTAACATTCATACCGGAAACAAATTTTATTTTTTTGTCTTCAGGTCAATACTTTAAGGTTACTTCAACTTTTTATCACGTTCTTTTTTTTATATGCCATGTCCCTTCAGGACGTTTGGCAATCATGGCCCTTCACTAACCCCTATCCCTTGCAGCTCTCAATAAGTTTTGTTCTTTTGCTATTTCGTCCAGGTTAAGTTCTGTCATCCACTTGCTTAAGCCCGCCAGGTTTGTCATGCGTTGCCTTCCCTTGCTTACCTCTCATTCTCTCTATTCGACCTGTGAGTATAAGATTCTCCAAGCCCACTTTTCTCAATAGGTGTTCCAGAAACCTCAGCTGCCTCTTCCTGATGATAAGTATAAGCTTCTTCCTTGTCTGCATCCTCTCCAAAACCTCATCGTTGCTCATACACTCGGTCCATGTTATCCCTAGCATCCTTCTGTAGACACATACCTTCGTTGACTTGAATCTCTTCTTCCTCTTTGAGGAGACCGTCCAATACTCCCTGTCGTAAAGGAGGCCAGATGTCACGTAGCAGATCAGTAATCTTTTCTGTCTTACCAAAGAAATCATCCAGTCTTGTAATACTCTGCCTAGCTTTTGGAATGCGTCATTGGCCATGCCAATACTTCTTCGGATCTCAGCGTCGTACTTACGGTCCTCTTTCAAAATACTTACGAGATATTTAAAGTTCTGCACCCGCTTGATTTTAGTGTCCGCGACCTGGATATTGAATCTTTTGTAAGGAATGTTCCGAAAAAGAGGAGGATTTATTTTTTTTAAATTCATTTTGAAAACTAATCGTAGCAAGAATTTGAGACAGGTGATAGATCAATCACATTGTCATAGATTGAGACCAAGAAAATAAATTTGCTCCTCTTTAGATTTCAGTTACAGAAAAAAAAGCTCACCAATTCGGCTCTTCTGTGCATATTATTTCTACACACACACACACACACACACACACACACACACACACACACACACACACACACACACACACATATACATATATATATATATATATATATATATATATATATATATATATATGATTATTTATTCGAAAATTATAACAAAAATAGCCAACTGGAATGACCAATCAAAATACAGGTATATGACAATTCCAAAAACTTGACAACAAACTTTCAAACTTTGGTTATTATAATTATTTAATGCTTTAAATTTAGGGTTAGACTAAAATAGAATTCATTCTAACTAATAAATATTAAATTATACTATAAAATTAAAAATTACCAATTTTAAATTTTAAATTTAATCTATATTAAGCTAAAAATTATTTAAAGAAACTGAGGAAAAATACATATGCTTTTTATTTATTTTGTTTTTCTTGAAATTAGGTTGGAATAAACGTTAAGATCTAATGCTGCTCAGAACTCCGTTACAACTTAGATATATTTGAAGTTGTCAAGTTTTTTTGAATTTTCATATACTTGTATTTTGATTGGTTATTCCAGTTTATGTAACAGCGTTTTCCCTAGCGAGGGGTCTTCGATTGATTTGAACATTTTAAAACCCTTTATTCTATATTCAACATCATCACTTGATAAGACAACAGAAGTGTTGTAACAAAATGGTTAGTATTGTAGTGATTTTATGACATATTTATGTTATAATTTTCGAATAAACAATTATATTAGCTCTACTCTGTACTGAGCTCTCTTTAAGAATAGTATTTTTGGTTTATTGGAATTTATTCCGTATACAGCACTCCTGTACTTGTACATACATATATATATATATATATATATATATATATATATATATATATATATATATATATATATATATAGAACATAGAAGTCAACACTTTGATTGCTAGATGAAATCGTCAGGCTTGACGATTGCATCTAGCATGAAACAGACCCCTCGCCTGTAAGTGTTGACTTCTATGTTCACTTTTATATTTACACACGCTCTATCTCTGATATTGAGCACTTTATGCAATATAGCACATCTTAAGACTATATTTCTTTATATATATATATATATATATATATATATATATATATATATATATATATATCCTCCATCCAACGACTATTAACTGTTACACATATTTGATATGTTAGTCTGAATTATTAACCTCGAATGAACTAAAAAACAATGTAAGTTAAGTGTGAATCGCTACCCGCACTTCAATTTCTTCCTCGAATCGAGCCATCAGGAATAAAACAGAAATTTGTCTTTATCTATTCTCAAAAGTTCGAGGTGAAGAATTTTCTTTATTTGCAACATTATTCGGACCAATATTTATATTAATTTATTACAACTTTTATTCGGAACATTTCTTTCGAGTTCATCACATTACTAGAACATTTTATTGTTATTACATGTTGAGTAATCTTATCTAGAGAACGAAGCCTCGGGCCTAATGTCATAAATGCTATAAAATGCTTTTGTTTTTCTTCTTTAGACCCTTTCAATCTAAATGCCTCTTACATCGAAGCGGCCATTCACATCAGTTGATATTCCACCAAACGTTCCCTGCCCAGCCTTGCCCGCTGGATACTTGAAAGGATACTGAAAGAATGGAACCTTAACTATGCAACGCCTTATGTATTTGAAATCCGTTCATGAGTTCATGAGATGAGGAAACAAAGAGAACATTCTAGAGAGAGATTAGGCGAGGAACCTCAAAAATTCATTTTCCCTGGTGAACCTACATAATTTAGTATAGTTCAACCCATATAGTCAGAGAAGAAAAAGATCTCTCTCTAAAATGACATAAGAAAATGTATTTAAGACTCGGTAACTTGGAAAAAGACACGACAGTGTCTGTCAAGAGTTGATTCTATAAACAAAGTATGTATCACTTCAAACAAGTATCTATTCCTATGATTGTACTTCTTAAGACGATGACTTAATATCGCCTGACGAAGTATATTCATAGTATTGAAACGTGAAAGCTTTTTTGTAGCGATTTCAATATTTTTTTATAATAATATGAAAGAAATATAATAATATATTTCTCTATTTTTCTTTAAGAACAATTTAAAAGTAAATGCTACGAACAGTGGATTTTTACTCCATCTGTTCTTTGTCATTTCCAAAAACTTTCTTTCGTTGAAAAAGACCAAGCGATATGCGTTGGACGGTTGAAAAAGTCACCCCTACACTACCTTGACTTAACCTCTTTTCGAAAGTAACTAATATATTGATACAATAGTTGTCAGTGAAAATGAATATCCTACCGCCCCTTATAAAAATGATTGGTTTTCTCCATATCCATAGAAACTAATATTACGAATATATATGCTTATAATGCTCCGTAAATTTCAAAATTTGTTTTTCCAAAATTCGCGGGTGAAACAGAACTAGGTACTTTACTTTGATTTAATTTCTATAATTGAACTGGAAGTTGGAAGTTTTTAGCTTCTGTTTTTGAAACATGTTTATTCTTATGTAACGATGGAATCATTTTTTTAAAAATAATTATATATATATATGTATATAATATATATATATATGTATATAATATATATATATATATATATATATATATATATATATATATAAACAAGGACATAATACGACAGAACATAAGTACAGTTTTAAAAACAGACGAAGACATTTTTACCTTTAGGATTCCTTTCGGACAACACTTTGTCGGAAGGAAATCGCTGGCGAAATTTATGACGAAGATAATTCACACAGTAAATAAAAAAAAAAGGTGAGGGTGAAATTATGGTACACGATTAAAATATTGGTAAAATAATTTACGAATAAAAATAAATCGATCCAAGTCAATATAAAATGAAAATATTACTCACAAACCTCATAAATGATTGCGGGAGTGGATGAAATGCTCGTTTTGTTTGTACAGAGCAAGTTGATGTAACTCACAATGGCGTAAAAGTTAAGCGGACCAAGCTCTGAAAAACTGCGAAAGAATTGTTCACATATTTATTCGCACAGTCTGTGTTCTCAATCAAATGTTGGCCAATTGCCGAATCATGTGCAGACTGAGTCACCATAAAAGACTGATTCAAACCATCTAGTCTTATACTGGCAGGAACGTGCTAATTCGGGTTTCCAGCCACTGATTGGATCGTCCCATGTATTCAGCTTCGCCCTGACATTGCAATTTATTAGAAGATTATTTTACTAATAAATATATTTTAATCGTATTCCTTAAGTTTCCCTCATCACTCTTTTTTATTTACTGTACGAATTATTCTTTTCTTTAGTCTCGTCATAAATTGCTCCAACGTTTTCCTTTCGACAAAGTGTTGGCCGAAAGAATTCCTAAAGTTAAATGCCTTCGTGTATTTTTTAAAACGTATATTGGAAAGAAATTTCTAAGGTATTACAGATATATGTACAAACATTGCACAAAGATATCTTGAAATACTAAAGAGTACATTTATTCAAGAAAATCTCCACTGGTTTCAACCACGGCATTCAAATTACTTCGGAATCTGCTTCATCTCTTCTGGGCGGTCTTCTTGTTTAGGTTGGTGAATTTTCCCATAATTCTTGCCTTCAGTATATCTTTCGATTTACAAGGAACTTTGTTGGTTTCTCGCTCAACTGTGCCCCACACATAATAATCAAGGGGGTTGCAGACTGGGAAGTTAGGTAGCCAGATGTATGAGGTAATGTAGTCGCAGAGATGGCTTGTGTGGAATGGTATAGAGTCCTGTTTCCTGACATAGGGTCTTCCAACCGCCATCCTCTTGACCTAGGAAAGCACGACATCCGCAGGGCACTTGATGTAGAGTCTGAGGCCCTGGGGAAAGAAGAACGGATGCATAACATCGCCATCAATAGAAATCACTCGAAACACCATGATGTCGACTGGGAATATCATCTAACTCCTCTGTACTGTCCTTAGATGGCATTTGGATTGGCGAAAGATGCCCTTCAAAAGACGACTTTCAAAATATGGCTTTCAAAAGTTAATCAATTCAGAGAAAAAGGAAAACTGAGTCAGAAATCAAAAGAGCTGAATTGTTATGAAATATCAATCCCCTCGTAAGCTGGACAATCTTCCGACAGATGACGAGGAAACTGAAGGTAAAATGAGTGTGGTTCTACATAGAGATACTGAGAATTCCATGGACGGAGAGAGTAAGCAACAAAGCAGTTTTAAAGAAAAGAATAACAAAATGAAACAGAAGGAAACATTTGAAATTTCTTGGATATATTTTGAGGACGGAGGGCTTGGAAAAATTAATCCTCACGGGGCATATCGAAGGTAAGAGTGTTAGGGTAAAGCTACCGGCGACCTATCTGACGAGTGTGCGTGAATGGATGACAGAACAGGGGCGGGCGGCTTGGTAAAAGGAGAAATGCTGGTACGGGAAACGAGGGATAGGAAATCGGAGAGAGTCATGATCTCGCATTTCTTGAAGGGACATAGAACAAGAGGTAATGTAGAATTCAAAATGTCTGAACTTGCCCCACATGTCTCTTCCTACATTCAGTTTTTTGACAATTTGTCTAGAGCTGGGAATTTTGGAGTCACCCTTATTTTCAAAGTATAAAACCAGAGATTTTTTTTTTTCTTTTTACCTTTGGCTAGTGATAAGTCTCTCTCTCTCTCTCTCTCTCTCTCTCTCTCTCTTTTTCTCTCTCTCTCTCTCTCTCATAGACCAAGTCAAACGTATATTTTTTCTAAAAATATATGAGGTCATATAAGAAAGCCGTATTATTTTTGCTCTCATTTCAAAATTGTTATATTTTCTTTCCGCACTTATTCATGCATTGTTTGTCTCGGTGCCTGGGGATATTTGTAGAAGTTGACAAAGATACATTGCTTTTCTAAGAAAACTTTTCCGGCGAAGAACGAAGATACCCTCTTAGTAAAACGACTGTGTTATCAAATATAAATAAATATGTCTAGCATTCACTATCACTGGGTTTAAAAAAAAAAACAAATAAAAAACAAAACATACGCACATATTTTTTGAGTCCTGGGTATGACGTTAAACTACATCCGGCAGCAAAACCTATCATCGGGAGATTGGTGGGATTGAGGAGCGTGAGACCATTATTTAATTTAATTTAATTGTTCTCATGTCCACCCTGACCCTGGGTGGTAGCGCCTGTTAGAGTCCAAGTTATGGGCAAAGAGTAAAACCCCAAACAAAAAACTGTGAAAGCATAAGAATGCATTTTTATAGTAAAAATACCATCATCACATTTTTTATGTGAAGAAAACAACAACAATATCTATTTGTCGTAAAATTTGCAAAAATGAGCTATAAAAGCAACATAATTAGCAATAATTTTTTTTGTAGTAAAAGGCATGCAAATTGCATTCAAAATATATTTAGTTGAAGCCATAAAATTGTTCAGATTATTTAGACTTCGGCATTAAATTATGCACAGAGGTTGATATGCCGCTAAACAAAATTAACAAAACAATCAACATGAAATAATTCTTTCTTGATATGAAGCCAATACAATTTCTTAAATAATACTTAAACCAAAATATAACTTAAGTAAGATACAATATAAAACTCATATATCACCGCATCAAGTAATTATATCTGCACAAAATCTGAGTATCATGTACCATGTATTCAATTGTGAAAGCAGAATAACATATCATAGATTTATTAATTCAAAGCACCCAAAGAAATTAAATTTCGGCATTGCATGACGCATAAGGAGTTAATATGCGATTAAACAAATCAAGCCTTTCATATATGTAGAAAAATGGAAAACCTTTTATTTACAATGCGCTGCGCCTTCGTTGAGAAGTTAGCAAGGTCTCTTCAGGTCAGAATGTAACTAATAAACCCGAACCTAGGTGAGTCTTTCCACTTTGATTTCTCTAGTTTTCTTCGGATTCTCTATCCACCTAACAACCATAGACACACACACACACACACACATAAATATATATACACGTGTATTTTTGCATATATCTATGGGTGTGTATCTGTGTGTTTGTGTGTGTATGTGTGTGCATTATCTACTTCACCCCATGCAAGGCAGTAAAGCCACTAAGATGCAAAGGGTTACTGGGTGGGGAAGAATTTGGAACAGAAACATTACTCATGGGCGGGAAGAGAAAAGAGTAATCAGGTGGGCAGTAGATAGCGATCGACATTGCATTTCAACTTTGGAAGTTTAAAATTGGCTGGAAATTATGGAACCGGAATAGAGTTCCACAAATGAGAAGTACGAGAAACGAAATTGTTAGTATAGAATTTATGGTTACATATAGCCAGCTCAATTGTAAATTGCTGAGATCTCGACGCCAGTCTAATATTGCACTTAAATTCGTACAGTCTAGATACCATAGCAAAGAGCTCATCCGAACAATTACCATAAAAGTATTTGTAGAAAAAACACAGGTGATCTTACGACGATGTATATATATATATATATATATATATATATATATATAGTGCTGTTCGATAAAAGTGACTCACCTGATTTTTTTTTTTTTTTTTACTTAAAACCTTTTTCGCCTATTGTTTTGGGGTCAAACTAATTTTTAATCTTACTAATATAGAGACCCCTTCCATTTAAAGAGTGCAAATCGATCCCACCAAGCTCATTTTTTATGCAGAATTATGCTCCATGTCACAAATCAAAATTGATGCAGGAATAGTTTGATGAGAAGCAGGTGAGTGTCATGACATGGCCGCCCCAATCGACCCCATAGAAAACTTATGGAGTATTAGAAAGCAGTTGAGAAACAAAGAGGATTTGATTGTGAATTTCATATCCGAATGGAAGTCAAAGCTTGGAGAGGAGATTTGCCAGAACCTAATCAAGTCAATGCCAAAAAGGGTTGCAAAGGTTATTCAAAATCGAAGAGGACCCATAGATTATTAAATATTTCGAACAATATTACCTATTATAAATAAATTCTACCTCTATTATTCTTTATTTAAAGCTGTTCGGTTATGTTTCTATTGATTACTAGTTGCAGAAAATAAGAGAGTCAATTTTTCGCACAGAATTTTTCCCAAATCTCATTTATATCCAAAATTATAATTATCTATAGAATACCTTAGGGAGAGTAAACTTTTTTTACTAGGGGGTCGAGAAGGGTCTTTATATTATTAAGATTAAAAATTATTTTAACCCCAAAAATAATGGACAAAAATATTTTTAGTAAAAAAAAATTCAGGTGTGTTACTTTTATCGAACAGAAATATATATATATATATATATATATATATATATATATATATATAATAAAACCCCCAAATCCAGGCAGTATATATATATATATATATAAACCCCAAAAAGCCACATTATATATATATATATATATATATATATATATATATATATATATATATATATATATACTGACTCTCCCGTCGAATTTGACGTATGAGGGTCAAGCAGATCAATTCCTAGAAACCGACAGCTAGACAACAGAGCATGAGATTTGATTATAGTGGTGAAGGTTTCGTGCAGGACCATCCACACTTTTTGAAAGCCCGAATACAGAAACCTGGTGCAATACGTGCCACAAGGTCCCCAAACGACCCTCACAGGTTTTGAATTCAGAGTTGTCCTTCTCCTATTCAATAGATCGCGTTCAAATGACTTGTCTTGTTGGACTATTCAAGAATCTCGCATGGAAGTGTTCATCAAGGTCAAATGTTTGGCAATACTATCAAAGTTATCATCAAATCTCATATTTATATCATCCTTATAGATACATCACGTTGAAATATCCGTTCCCGTACGATCATCGAAGTTAAGCAACACTCAGCTCCGTCAGTACCTGGATGGGTGTCAAACTGGGAGTACCTAGTGTTGCATACTTGGACATGCGTGTAGTGGCTTAGCATTAGATATTTGGACAGTAGAGTTCCAATTTTTTTATATTCATCTACGCGCAAATAACATTACGAAAGATACGAATCAAGCTTCTAAAATATATGTTCTGGCTTTAGATAACCCACAAAAATCTGATGAACCGGAAAAAGAATCATATATATATATATATATATATATATATATATATATATATATACACACACACATATATATATATATATATATATATATATATATATATGAAAAAATATAGTATTAATGTGTGCTATATTTATGGAATAAAGTGTTCAATATCAGAGACAGTATATAAATATAAAAGAGAACATTAAAGTCAACACTCAGAGAGGCGCGACAGGCTGTTTCATGCTAGACGCAATCTTCTAACAATTGCGTCTAGCATGAAACAGCCTATCGCCTCTGAGTTGAATGTTGATTTCAATGTTCACTTATATATATATATATATATATATATATATATATATATATATATATATATATTCGATCAAAAATAAATAAAAATTAATTATAAACGTAACTGCCTTTAGTTAATACCCTAATATTTAAGATACCGCCAAATCAAATAAGATAAATGAAATAATCTTAATTGAAATTAGGTGCCTCCAATAATTTTCGATAGGTAAGGTTTAAAATGAATTTTTATAAAGGAAATGTCTTTCTTGAAGCTTTCATTTTAACTTTAATTGAAATACTAAATGATGAAATTTGCTATTTCCAGTGAACAAAATACTCTGATGTATTTAAAACAGAAATTATATTGACTGGAAATGGTTTAATTTTTTTTTTCTAAAAAAGCTGATTAGAACACTTTTTTGTCGTTTTCCATCGAAATGTAATTCTACGTATTAAAATATCTTCTAAAAATAAAATACACTTTGAAAGGGTTGAAAGAGAGAAGAAATTATAAACCAAATAGGGAGAGAGTAAAAAGAAATAATCTCGACATTCTACACGCATGCGCAAACGCGTGCACACTCGAGCGTATACATACACAATCACGCAAATATACACAGACAATAAAAGATGAATAAGCAAATTAAACTTCCGCCAATAAAATGTACATAAATTATGTTTTAACTCATAAAAATAAAGAAAACGAAAAAATAAACAGAAAATTGTTGGTAACACCTGACGAATGGACAGGTCGATTGCTGGAGGGTTCGTCTACGAAACTCTCGAGGGTGCTGGATATAACATCCATCAGGTAAGGGACAACCTTCATATATATATATATATATATATATATATATATAGATAGATAGATAGATAGATAGATAGATAGATAGATAGAAATATTTAAGTAAATGCTAAAGAGATGCTTCCTCTGTAGGTAAATGGTATATCCTCAGGCTATATGACGCTTTCGTGTAGGATATAGATTCGATTCCTATCGGAGGATACCTATTTTTCTATGAAGTATCTCGGACATTCAGGCTGGTAAATGTTGTGAATACTGTTTATTATAAACAGAGCAATTAGTTACATATTTGTTTCTAAAAAAAAAAAAAATTAAACAATAAATATAATAAAATAGTCGTCGGACTTAGTCCATTTCCCTTATTCATATATATATATATATATATATATATATATATATACCATTGACCTACAGAGGAAGCATCTCTTTAGCATTTACTTAAATATTTCTATCTATCTATCTATCTATCTATCTATATATATATATATATATATATATATATATATATATATATATATATATATATATAACGTAGAAACAATCAAATGTTAAAATAATTGTCGAACTTGGTCCATCCCACAATATATGACGTCATTTGTTTACGTTAGGATACACATCGAGCAGAGATGAGAGTTCGAGAGTAATCATGGGAAATTTGTAGTTTAAAAGTAGTAATTTTACCTAGCAAACTAGACGCTTCCTCTGTTAACTCATTACTACACACGTTAAACGTCGAAGACAGACTAGCCACAAGCGTACACGAATGACAAATGTAACCTAGTCCATATAGCAACACAGCGCCATCTACCGTAAACTTTCTTTGCATGTAATAGCCGAAAAGAAATCATTTGCGGATATATGTTCATATGGACGTTTGTCTTTGTTTTGGTGTGAGGAACCCTCTTCCAAATTTATAAACGTATTTGTGATGCACCTTGTCTATATAAAACAAATAAACCAGGCACCCCAATGCATCCCATAGTATTAGGGATAAACAGCCTCACAAAATAAGAAAAAGAAAACAGATCAAACAAAAAGCAACAACATACATCTGTAATAAATGCGCGGGCACACACACACATATATGAGTTCGCTTTCTGATCACGAGAACAGGGTTCGAATCTCACCATGCTCGATTTGTCAGGAAGGAGACCTTGATATTATCGGAATGGATCGAGGTCGATCGCAGTGTGCGGTACCTTTAGAAAATGTCTTAAACCTATACCACGGGTTGACAAAAGCGTTTTGTGCAGACTGAACTTTTGTGGGCCCTTAATAGCTGTCCTAGCACAAAGCCATATGTCATCGTGGCCGAGGGCTTGAGCGTTCTAGCCTTGTTCAAGTTGTTGATCGCTCTAAATAACACGCTTTTCCCCAGAAATTGTAACTAAGTTCTCTCAGCATAGTTGCAGTATAAACCACAGGTGGGCTCTGTGGGTGTTAAGCAAAAGGCAGATGTGCCTGAGCGGGCGTCTGCTATGAGGATTGGCTAGTCACCCTACTAGACGGGTATCTTCGAATACGAGTGTCCAGCTATTATATATATATATATATATATATATATATATATATATATATATATATATATATAAGTGGACAGTCTGTTTCATGCTAAACGCAATCGTCATGCCTGACTTTTTTTTAGCCTGTTGATCAGTCTTCTTCATCAACCGCAGATATGATCATAACTATGCAAATGATTACCAGGCAAAAGTTTTGTTTTTTTCACGTTGGGGAACAGATAATAGTCAACTCAGAATTATCAAGAGGGTAGCAACCAGTCCCAATACAGTCACGTACTGCAACCATTGAAACAAAGAACGTGTACTGGAACACAAGGCACCTGATGAAATAAAACTCCTTTAGGCACTTTCTTCTATATGTCTGGGCTTGATAAACTTTCTTAAATACATGAGCAAATTTGAAAAGAACTCTCTATTGATGATGTGGCTCTATGCAGATAGTCAATAAACACAATGCCTTTTGCATCCCCAGAACAAAGACCACCTTCCTTGAAAATGAAACAAACATGGCCTCCATTGGAGCAGATAAGGATGGTGTTTCCACTGCATCTGGTGTTTCTTTGTCTCTATCTCAAAGTGATAAACCTAACAGTCATCCTGAATTAGAAAACCTTCAAGGAAAGCAGCTGGATATACCTTAGGCATTTTCAGATTTTCTGATGTGATCAGACTGGTGAGCTTTTGATCTTGTGTCAGAAAACGTAGAACCCGCTGAGCAGAAACTTCGTTCTGCCAAGATCATTGTGCAGAAAAGTTTCGACTCTCTCACAGGATACGTCAAAATAGTATTGGCTATTTGATTAATAGTAAATTGTGCGTCATCCATACTCAGATAGTGAACACGATGAATGTTTTTGTTATGGAATGGTTTCACAGTGGAGGCTTGTATTTGTACTAAGTCGGTCCTAAAATAGGTTCGACATATAAAACGTTAGGAACTTGATATAATAGGCAATGAAGCAGAGAAATCTAGTGGTGGTCGCTGATACTTTAGTATCCGACTAACGGTCGTCCGGCATCGACTGACTAACCCGACCTACTGAGCGACGGTATTTAGTCAACCCCCACCCCCCACGTGGGCATCATGTGGCATAAGGCCGGTTTAACGTGGGATCTCCGAGCCCGTGGGTTCGGCCAAAAATATGCCCATTGAACCCGTATAAACGGGTTCAGGGTCGGTTTACCTCTCCGAAAGAGAATCTGCCCTTCGGCGTAGCCACTTTCGGGTTCCTCCCCGCCCGAAGGCAGAGAGTTCAACAGATCAACCGGTCAGCCTGACTGACCCACTGAGCGACTCCTCGTTACTCTTACTACTTCTACTTATTATAGGTGGAAGAGTCTATTAACTATAGAATAGGTGTGTTCCACTATAACAGTTTTCCTCGGTGGTGGCACTTCCAGGTCGTCCAATTGCAGGAATTTATTTTCCAAATTCTCCCTACGCCTGCAATATTCAGTTGCCCACATTTATACTGTTGATAACTCTGAAGCGTCATCATATAATGAAGCAACCACGTCAGTATGAATATCCTTATGGGCTAAATCCTTGTTCTGCAGGTACTTGATAATACTAAATGTCAAATTATATCTATTTTCAAGAGAAGTCGCTACTAGTTACATTTGATTTCTTCTTTCAACAATCAGATAACAATTTACCTGGAAATACAGACTACTGTTCTTAGTAAGAAGATTTGAAATTAACTCATGCAAGATTTCATAGCTCTAGCATCAGTCCTACATAGTCATTCTATGAACTCTTCTGAACACACTCGTAATTTTAACAATATGATGGCATGAAAAAAAATATTCTCAAAGGATTCATCGAACTAGAATTGTTCTAATAGAATATAATACACAGTAGATCTGAAAATATTTCGGCTTTATAGAAGACTATAAAATTGACATTCTGGAGTAAATCATAATGGTGTGATTGTTTATAAATGAGATTCTCTAAATAGAAAGCCAAAAAAGACTGGATATTTTTGTACCGTTGTAATATATCATCATTTGTCTAATGCATTCCTAAGTGCTGAGTCGACATAGCATGCTTGCCAAAGGGCAGAAACCTCTGACTATAAACTGGCTTCAAGAAAGAAATACTGTAACGATTCCAGAAATGTACATTCTTCATTTTACCTCCCGAATATATTTCGGGTATCAGCTTCATTCCTGCCCATTTCTGCCCATCTGAAAGTGTCCGAAAGCTAAATTCATTTCCATGCACATCCAGTGACAAGCCGGGGT